CATTTTATAGATTGACAGTTACAAATTTGGACTCTGGGCTGAGGAGTAACTCAGTGGTATAGCAGTTGCCTAGAGTAAAGCCCTGGGTTCAGCCCGAAGGCTGCACAATAAAAATAAATAAATTAGAAAGTACGTTTTCATGGGTCAGACTTCCTAGCCAGATATTCTGTTTTGTCCCAATCCTGGGAGTTTGAACTCAAGGTCTAGGAACTGTCCCTGAACTTCTTTTGCTCAAAGCTGGTGCTGTACCACTTGAACCACAGCTCCACTTCTAGCTTTTTCTGGAAGTCAATTGGAGATAAGAGTCTAACCACTGGGCAATGGTGGCTCTCGCCTGTAATCCTAGCTATTCTAGAGGCTGAGATCTGAGGATTGCGGTTCAAAGCAGGAAAGTCCGTGAGACTCTTATCTCCAATAAACCACCAGAAAACCAGAAGTGACATTGTGGCTCAAGTGGTAGAGTGCTAGCCTTGAGCTGAAGAGCTGAGAGACAGCGCCTAGGCCCAAAGTTCAAGCCCCACAACTGACAAAAAAAAAGTCTTGGGGCTGGGAAGGTGGCTCAGTGGTAGAGTGCTTGCCTCGCCTGCATGAGATCCTGGGTTTGATTCCTCAGCACCACATAAGTAGAGGGCTAGCCTTGAGCTGAAGAGCTGGGGGACAGTGCCCAGGCCCAGAGTTCAAGCCCCACGACCAACCAAAAAAAAAAAAAAGTCTTACCAACTTCTTGACAAGGCTGACTTCAAACTATAATCCTCAGATCTGAACCTCCTGAGTAGCTAGAATTACAGGCGTGAGCTACCAGTGCCTGACTCGGAACTAAGTTTGAGTCATCTTTTTATCTCAACCAAACCTCAAAACAAGATACTTTTATTGTAATTATTTTGTCTTATTTAACAGAGAAGATATCACAACGTCACTCCACTAGCCTGGGACTCAAAGCTCACATGATCTTCCTGCCTCGCTCTCCCAAGTAACTGTGACCCTGCATGTTGTTTTGTTTTGTTTTTTATGAGTTTTTGTTTTGCCAGTCTTGGGGCTTGAATTTAGGGCCAGGGCACTGTCCCTAAGCTTCTTTTGCTCAAGGCTAGTGCTCTACCACTTGAGCCACAGTGCCACTTCAGGCTTTTCCTGTTTATGTGGTACTGAGGAATCAAACTCAGGGCTCCATGCATCCTAGGCAAGCACTTTATCACTAAGCTACATTCCCAGCCCCAGGTTTTAGCCAAGCACTAGTGGCTTATGCCTAGATATTCAGGAGGCTGGATCTGAGAATCAATGTTTAAAGCCAGAGCGGACAGGAAAGTCCGTAAAACTCTTATCCAATTAACTACCAAATGTGGAGCTGAGGAACAACGTTTAGAGCACTAACTAGCCTTTGGTAAAATAAAAAAAAAAAAAATTTAAAGCTAAGATGGCTGGGAATGTTGCTTAGTGGTAGAGTGTTTGCCTAGCATGCATGAAGCTCTGGGTTCAATTCCTCAGTAAAATTAACAGAAAAAGCCAGAAGTGACACTGGGGCTGAAGTGGTAGAATGCTAGCTTTGAGCACAGAGAGGCTCAGGAACAGTGCCCAGGCCCTGAGTTCAAGCCCCAGGACCAGAAAAAATAAAAATAAAAAAGTAAAAATGCTAAGAAACAATGGCCAGGCCCTGAATTCATACTCCAGTACTAGCAAAATAAGTAAACAAACAAACAAACTCACTCCTCTGTACCTGAAGACAGTAGCAAGAAATAGTCTATGGGGAAAGCTTCAAGTAGATTGGACAGAACCTAGAAAGGAATCAATCCTAAGGGATCCTAGACCCCAGGCCCTTTACCTCTGTATGACTTAGAGATGGGAAATTAGCTGGGTGCCCATGGTTCACCCCTATAATCCTAGCTACTCAGGAAGCTGAGATTTGATATTCATGGCTCAAAGCCAGCCCAGGCAAGAAAGTCAGTGAGACTGTTATCTCCAATAAACCACCAGAATCACTGGAAGTAGAGCTGGAGGACAGCGCCCACGCCCAGAGTTCAAGCCCCAGGACCAACAAAAAAAAAAGGGGGTGGGGGGGATTAACCTACTGACTATGTCATCTCAGCCATTATGAAAGCCAAATATGATAGCCCTCAGGACAGGGCTAAGTTCTCCACCAGGCATCTCATTTTCTCTACCAAGTAGAAGCCTCCCCTCAATGTCATGTCAATGTCATCTGGTCTCTATTTAGCTTTTGCAAGTGTAGGGGGGGACAGAAGAATTCCTTTCCAGACTTTGAGTGTCTTCATTTAGCAAAAAGAAGTCAAAAGAAGCTGTGACTTGGGCCCAAGGCCTCTCCTCCTCTTCCTCGTGGCCTCTGGATACCCGGGAGGCTGGGTGGGCGGCAGGAGTCTGGGTGGGCAGACCCTGCTTGTGGGCTGTAGCTGTGGCTGGATCTTCTGACCCTTTCCTGAGGAATGCAGGCTTAGCCAGGCCTGCTGAGGGCTCCTGCTGGGGAAGGCCATTCCTCATCTCCCTTCCTCCATTTGCAATCACTATTTATTTATCTTTGGAAGTTCAGCTGGGAGGGATGAGGAGCCAGGGAGGGAAAGCAAGGGGGCCAGCAGTATCAGGCCCCAAGGCCTGCTGCCAGCAGGCCAAAGGGAGAAGCCACTTCCCTGCAAAGGGGCTGGGAAGCTTGGCTGACAGGCCCAGTAGGACTGGAAAAGGCACCTTCACCACAGCAAGGGTGGTGGCTATCTTGGGGGCACATTGATGGCCCTGTGAGGATAGAAACACCAATCTAAGAAGGCAGACACCATAAGCCACACTCCCCCAACCAGGTTTCCAGTTTGCATTGCAATCCAGAAGCAATACCCAGAAGCATTTTTTTGCGGGGGGGTCCGGTTGTGGGGCCTGAACTCTGGGCCTGGGCACTGTCCCTCAGCTCTTCAGCTCAAGACTAGCGCTCTACCACTTCCGGCTTTTTTTTTCTTTTTGCTTCTGTGGTGCTGGGGAATCGAACCCAGGGCCTCATGCATTGCAAGGCAAGCACTCTACCACTGAACCATCTTCCCAGCCCTCCCCCCCCCAGAAGCATTTTTTTTAAATATTATTAAGTGGTTGTATAAAGAATTTCAATTCCATAACTCAGATTACGAGTACAATACATCTTAATCACAGAGGGTTCTTTTGTTTGTTTTGTTGGGGAGGGGTGTTTATTGTGCAAGTCTAGGGCTTAAACTCAGGGCCTGGGCACTGTCTCTAAGTTTTTATGCCCAAGGCTAGTGGTCTACAGTTTGAGCCACAACTCTACTTCCAGCTTTGGGCAATTAATTGGAGATAAGAGTCTCACAAACATTCTTGCCCAGGCTGGCTTCAAACCTTGATTCTCAGATCTCAGCCTTCCGGAGTAGCTAAGATTACAGGTGTGAACCATGGGCACCCAGTTGTTTGTTTTGTTTTTAAATGTTTGGTTTTCTTTTTTTTGGGGGGGGTCCAGTCATGGGCCTGAACTCTGGGCCTGGGTGCTGTCCCTCAGCTCTTTAGCTCAAGGCTAGCGCTCTACTACTTGAGCCACAGCGCCACTTCCGGCTTTTTTCTTTATGCTTATGTGGTGCTAAGGAATTGAACCCAGGGCCTCGTGCATGCAAGGCAAGCAAGCGCTCTACCACTAAGCCACCTTCCCAGCCCCAGATGTTTGGTTTTCTTGAGACAGTCTCACTACTAAGTCCAAGCTGGTCTCTGACTGAGGATCCTTCTGCCTCCCAAGTACTGGGATTATATGCTTGGGCAAGAAGCTTCCACCACATTTCTCATCCTTCTTTCCCCTTCTCAAGGTCAGACCCTGCCCAGGGCTTTCTTCCTCCTTCTCATGCCACAATTTACATGAATAAAGTAGGGGGTAGTCAGGACCTCATTTTGACCCCTAGACTAGTCCTCCAAGATGTTTCATCAGTGTGTCCAAAGTCAGACAGTGAATAAATTAAAAGGCAGAGCTAAGCTTAGAATGGGATGTCCTAACTCCCTGCACAGTGCTCTGCCCATATCCTGGCACAGATCCCTCTTTTCATTTTCCCAGTTTGTCACTCACTACTTCACACACACACATACACACACACACACACACACACACACACACACACACAAGGGGGGGGATGGTCAGAACTAGCAAGGCCTGTCTTGGCCTTTGACCTCTCCTTGGCCCAACAACATGCACCCCCCACTGGACAAGGTCACTGCTCACTGGGTGAGGTCAGCTGCTTCCTCATCTGTGGCTTGGATCCTCCTGCGGTGGCCTCAATCAAAGTTTGTGGGCAGGAGCAGGGTTGTGACTGTGAGAGCCAAGGTCTAGACCGGCCTCTCATGTCACGGAGGCGAATGGAAACCTCTGATCGCGAGCAAAGTTCAACCCCAAACAGAGCCCCAGACATCTCAAGCCGAGCCCCGTAGGTCATGCAAAGCTCCGGAAGCCTGTTCCTGCAGTCTGGACGCACACGAGCCAGGGAGGGTTTTGTGAAAAGTGCTGTTTGGGGCTGGATTGTGGAGAGGACAGCGGACAGGCTTGCAGGTCGGG